GAGGGAAGGGGGAGGGGTCTGGTGGGGACTTGTTACTCATTCATACCCAAACGCCTCCGCAAAATTGTGAGCAACCGTACCAGGCCGACGATTCTCGCTCGAAATTCCGAGCGACGATGTCCGATTAATGAATTCGCCGTGGCCGCCACGCCGGTTTAACTTTTATTCACTTTTACTAACGCGTCGGACGCCGACACTGGAAATTAATTTTCGCATCACCTCTCTTTCCGTCCTCTTTTCTTTCTGTCGCGTCGCGGCGGGTAGGCAACTGCCACGGCGAATCGGGACTTTTCAATTTCCGTTTCGTTAAGCGAATCGCCCCGATTTTGTGGGATTTTTATGGGCGTCGGCTCGGCCCGACTTATTAATTCGAGCACGGAGAGATGGAGGATGGATATGTGCGTTTACTTTTTTGCTACCTGGACGCGTCCGCGTGACACTTGGTCGCAGGCGGTTGGTTAATAGCGTTTCGGGGTTTAATGATCGCCTGTTCAGGATTTATCGATGAGTTTCTTTTCAATGGAATGACGACTGCGATCGCGGGAAGTTTAAGTGGGTGAATGGGGGAACGATTGGTTGCGGGATTATTGCGTGATAAAAGAATTTGTCGATGGGAAGGTATTCATTTGTTTCAATTACCGGTTAACCGAACTTTCGGGGAACCTATCTTGACATGTTTGTTTAGAATGTTGCTTGTTGAGATTTCAGAAACTGGACGTCAATGTTGAAGTAATATTCTGCATGACTTCGTAAACGAATACCTTCCTGTGACGCATATTAATTCGATGGTTCGAAGCGTGGAAAATAAGGCTTCAGCGGTAATGGTAGCGATAGCGTGATCCGTTTAAAAGAATGTGGTTAAAATGAAACTATAGCAACGAGATTCTAGTAACGTGCGTGTATCAGAAACATCTACATTGGTGGGACCGAACGATTTTGACGAATCGCTTTCATACCCGCGCAGAAATTGGAATGTAGAATGAAATATTGATGCGTCGCAAATTTCTTTCTACGGAACTCGAGCGATTTGTTGTCGGAAGGTTACACAATGACGCGTAGTTGAATCGTTAATGGAATATCGCGAATCTAAGGAAACCGTTGACCGAGAAGAAAAGTATAAAACAAGCGAAAGAATATTATAATCGTGCTATCGCGGTGTTGCTCACGTTCTCGGAAATCGGTGGACAAGATTATCGCACGACCATTTGTTAATTAACGCCGGTGCGGTCGCATGGACAATACGTGTCGGATGCGCAATTCGATTTGAACAGATCGGATAATACGTTCGGGCAGATGCGTTTTATCCGTGCCAGCACGCGCCTTTTATTAATCGACGTTTCGTATTGTTAATTGCGTGTCATGACCTGGATCGTCGTGATCAGAATAATTAGTACGACACCTGGTGCAGGTGTGCGCCAAGCAATCCTGTTTCATCAACTAATTACACCAACCCGAAAATACAATCCGTAGATATTAACCAACTGTTACTATTCCTAATTAAAAGACAAGCGACGAACTATTCCGGGTTAATGAATTATTAACATCGCCGATTTAGCGACGTAAGAATACCACCTCGGATCGCTGAACTGATTCATCGGGGAAATACTATAATTAAATCGCTATAGAAACTATTCTAAATGAACTCCAGAAATTGAATTACGCGACAGCGTGACGTTATTTTTATCCTTGCTTGATCCCGAAGTAAATCGTTCGACACCTCGAAAACGATCAATTGAAATCCTTTCTCCAATAATTATTTATTCTCACTTAGCGTTTCTAATAATAAATTCAAAGCTGCCAATATCTCTCACGTTCAATTAAAGGATAATCCTGTTAAATAGATTAAATTTATTCGATCAATCCTCCGCGCCATGTTCAACGTAAACTAAACGAGCTATCATTAATATTTCATCACGTATCATATCGTGTTTTATTTATTCACCGATCGGACCGCGTTCGCCGGTTGCTTGTGATCGATACTTGTTAGCGGCGTCTCGTTAAGTCTAGACTCGATACCACCTATTATCTGATTCGTGAAAGGACCCTATTCAGAAACCATGTTTTCGACCCACTTCGATTTCGTTAAAACTTTGCATATTCATAGACCTGTATGCGGGACGTCTATACCTAGACTGGACGGGAGAGTATTCGAAGTATGTATTTGGCAAAATGTTTCGGAGGTTATAACTTTTGAAAAAATCACAAAAAGTTCAAATTTCCGAACGATGTGCAATTCTGCGTTTTTTTTTCCATTCTGTAAACAAATTTTTGCGCATTTTGATGGTTTCCGTGCGTAGGCAAATAAAAAATCGCACCGCGTTCGGAAGACTGAATTTTTTGTGATTTTTACGACAAAAATAAAAGCAATATTTATTTCCAGTCGAAAGTTATAACGTCCGAAACATTTTGCCAAATACACTTTGAACACTTGCCCCTCCACTATCTTAAGGCACAGAAGAAAATTACGCTAGGATTAGATCACACACATATAGGCCTATGAATATGCAAAGTTGTAACGAAATCGAAGTGGGTCGAAATAGTTTCCGAATAGAATCCTTCTGGACTCGAGGATTATTAGCGATTTAGCATGTTTCAAATAAGCCAGGTGCTCCGCCCTGTCCGATCTCATTGACGAATTCGCCCGACGACAAATCACGGCACACGTGCGACTAACTGATAACGCCGCCATTTTCTGCGGTTCCCGCGTACCGGGAGCCACCGGTGGCTGATTAGCATTAACGACGCACAGTTAATTGACGCGTACTGATCGCCAGCCTATCCTCAGGATTTTGTTACACCGCGTCGCATCGATTCCGTCGATTATTAATTTCATCGTGAACCGCTTGTTCGTTGAGCAATCAAAATTGAATCGCTGTCTGTTACCTAATCGTCGTGTTCGTGGATGAAATATTCGTTTGCGGGTCGCGAACGTTTCGTTCGACGTGTCCGCAAACTCTGCTGTCGCTTGCGAACGATTTTGGAAATTACAGCGAAGAATTGAGAGTTACCGCAGAAAACCATGTCTGAGAATTTAATATCAATATCATCGCACGTGTATACGATTTTCTCCAGCCGATTCGAATTACTTTAAGTACAGAAGTAATAACGGAGGAAGAGAAACATACATTTTTTCTGTAAACACTGTTCGAATCCGATGCTGTTGAATGAATATCGAGGTTGATGAACCCAGAGTCGTCGATCGGAGTATTGTGAGGCGTTACGTAAAGGTGTAAACACACGGGCTTGTTGTATACGCTTTGATCTTTGAGTTTACGGATAAGGAATCGTTGGGACACTGCAATTTCTATGAGCTCACGTAACTTTCATGTGTTTCTCTTATAAATAATTCTTTTAATGTTACCATTCATTTCGTTCGTCGTAGGCGAATAGCGTGCTTCAACGTTAAACCTTTCTCGAAAGGTACATTCTTCTCTTTCGTTTGATGATAGGTACATATTTATGATTTCTTGAGGTTTTCCGTGAAACGTTTTCGTTAACCAGCAAAGTGTTACATTAATTTCTGCCCCGATGTCCATATTTTAAAACAAAGTGTTTGGAAACCCAACGTGACGCAGATAAATCGTATAAACATCGAAAGAGAAATTGTCTGTAATCAAATAAACAAACATTTCACAGAAGGAACTTCTAAATATACGTGATCTTGCTCGTACATCCCGCGAGGGCAGTGGACCACTGTATTTATTTAAATAGGGAGTAGACGTTTCAGTGAACTGCACGGTTCGTGCTCGACATTCGTAACTTTGTTAGAAGTGTACGATTCCCTCGTTCCAAAGTTGTCTTTGAACCTAGTTTTAATTACATTAAATTAGAGTCCACTTCCCGCAACCGACTGTTTCATTCCGAAACTTATACCTTTAATTACTACGTTCAGCGAAGGAAATGCAATCCGCTGGAAAATAATTGATCATTACTGGAAGTTTATTTTTAGCGTTCAATCTGACATCAGAGCATTCGAATCTCGAACGACTGAAATTCGTTCAAACAATTGTCTCGCGTGAATGGCAATTTTGCCGTAGCTTCGGAGGCGCAGAGTTATTTTCCTGGAATTAGATGAAAAATAGTCTACAATCGTGGAACGTTGCAGCAGAGACGCTTACGCAGAAGTATTTCCGCGTGACGCGTTAGTCATACATTATACTATTTCCAAAAGAAACATCCGACTACGCTAAATCGAGTCACTATCGTCGTTATCAGACCGTTCGGTCATTTTTTCCACGCGAAGGACACGTGTCCTGCTGTACGAGCGAGTAGGGGTGGGCGTCAAAAGGAAGCAGCTAGTGACCTCGAGAAGCGTCGTTTCTATTTAGGACACTCGATAGACGATAACCATGCTCCAGGATGCAGCCTGATAGAAAGCAGCGCGTGCGATTTAATTTCATTGAGATAGTTGGCCATTCATGCCCGCGACACAGTTACTTCAACGAGTCTTTCTCCATAGGACTGCCAAGGTTTAATCATAACAATTCGAATTCCAACCGGAAAATCGTAATTAATTTCCTCCGATCGTCCAAGGCGTAGTCTATTTCAGTCCCGCAGTTATAGAACGATTCGAACCAGAACTTTCTATCTGCGCTACGAATACGCTCCAGGAAGCAGAAATCAACGAAGCATCAGCAAAAATAACTTTATCTTCGTCCCCAGGTTTAATTAATTTAGAGCCAATTAGGGACGTTTTCGGTTCGTTAATGGAATTGGGTCATTAGATAAAACGTTTCCGAAAATAACGCGAGTCGGTTCCCGAAAGTGGTTCCGACAACGGACAAACGACGCGGAGAGAAAAAAAAAGGAAAAGAAACGAGAGAAGATCGCCATTGCGCGAGAAACCGCCGAGCGATACGCGTTATAAAATAAATGACGGCACGAGCGAGGGTTACGTCGGGCCGATAACGGGCATTCTGAATTTCATTGATAAAAAATCACGTTTCCGTTCGCCAGCGGAAGCGGCCGAAATGCGAACGTGCAATTAGGACGACTGCGAAATGGCGTACAGCTATAACGTCGAAGAGGTGCCGCCGGACGACGTGCCGTGCGTCCAGCACGACGTACGACGCGCTAAGATGTTTCTTCAGAAACACAGTTCGGAGTCGGGCGACAGCTTGTAAGTTGACCCCTTTATCCTGTGATTTCTTTCGCAATTGTGACCGACGAAATTACCGTTTAACACGTTGAATGCCATGGGGGTTACCGATGACGCCCGACCAAGTTGAATTACTATAGTTCACTGAATGAAACGATGATTATACGAAAACATTTCTGTATCATAAATAATGCTACCTTATGCGGTGACATTCGGCTAGATGAACGTGCAATAATAATAATGCAGTTCGATCGAATGATTTAATATTACATTCCTTCCATTTTGTGTGTTTCGCTGTATGAAATCGTGCGGCGTTCAACGTGTTAATTAATTTATTAGAGTAATATATGATTTGATACTTATATGTCCACGGTCACTTTAAGGAATGACGATTGGTAATAGAAAAGCAATATTTATCAGGACTCTGAGGGAGAGAATTGTAGAACTAAAGTAGAATTGAAAAAGTTTCCTAAATTTGCCTTTTAAAGTTAATATACTGTTATTCTTGGGTGATATATATTGTCGTTTATAATTGGATATATATCGCGAAGTGATTTAATTCGTTTCATTATCAGCCAGTCGATCCCCAGTTAGATACTCGAAGGGTTTCTCGAACTGCGCGAAGCTCATCGCGATCTGGAAAATCACTGCGGCAACATCGTTCCGTTGTTAACGTGGCTATCAAAGCGAAAACGCTGCAGAGTGGCAACTTTCTACCCCGATACTTGATTTAATTAAACGCGAGCCGACAAATCTTGATAACTAGGACTTGTCAAAGTAATTTCTACCGAGTTGACCTTTATGAGAACGGTTTCGCGGAGTGCGGGTCAACGAAGCGCTAGAAATCGAATAATTAGCTGGCCCGTATTATCGGAGTGCCAACTGAGAGATTTGAAACCGGTTCGTTGTTGAAATTCGAGAAATTTATGAAAATTCAAAGAATCAAAATTCCTCGACGTTCAAGAAGACGAAGGAAATTCTTTTCGCTCTGTTCACTCTGAATACGATGCAGATACGATCATTTAACCGAGCTGCTGGCCAAAATCCTCGCGGAGAGACCGAAAAACGTCGTCGACTTTTTCGAGGAATATAGTCGACGAGTGAAAGAAGAGAGATTTAAAACGGACACGGACTATATTCGAGATTTGTACGTGCCGCCGGCGCGATACGAGAACGCGAAGAAGATTATCGAACTGTTCAAGGTGCGATTAAAATCGAATCTGTGATTTGGCCGACGCATAAATAAAGCGCGGAGCGTTAGGAAATGCAATCTTTTTCCCCATTTCGAGTTTATGTCTTCGTATTGGAATCGTAGAGCGTTCAACAGATCGATGAAGAGAATTCCGCAGAGCTGGAGGAAGAGGGCGAGGATGACGAAGACGAGGGGAAGAGAAAGGAGAAACCGAATATGATGATCCTTTTGTTCTATTTCGAACAGACTGACGTAGGATTGCCCCGCAGTGAAATGGTGGTGCTTAATTTGTCCATTCGGAAACTTATGGTCGACGCCCCTATAGAGAACGTCAGGTGACGCGAATGGAAATTAAATTTATCGTGAAATGGAATATTAAAATCTCGTAATATATGTTCGTCTACATTGATAATGAAATAATATTTGCATATTAATAACTGCTTATGTTGAAGATTCTGGGGAAAGATCCTTGGGAATCCGAAAAATTATTACGTGGTAGAGGCTGATCTTAAACCAGACGAGTTGGATAAAAGATTGGAGGTATCGTCCAAGTATATTATGGTTTTATAGGGATATTACGAATAGAAATCGTTGATCACTTATAATCTATTTTTCCCTTTCATTTCATACGTCGAATGAAAAGTCGAGTAAAAAGTTCATTATACGCTAACAATGGCCCCATTCAATGGATGTCGTCGAAGAATAAGTAGAAATTAATTGTACGTAGAAATTAGCAGAAATGGAGAATAGGAAACGGGAAGAGGACCAAACGAAGGCGGAAGTAGCTGCGGTAGCTGCGGATGAAACAGCTGCGCAAGCAGAACGAGAAGATGCAAGGGATGCAGAGGAGGAGGCAACGGAGAAAGAAGAAAAAGAGAAGGACGGTTTGAAGCTCGTGTTTCCACCGCTGCCTATCGCTTCGTGGAAACCGCCACCGGAAGTGCCCATGGAAAAAATTGGGACCGGTGTGAATTCCAAGGTATAATTAGACTTAACGATCCCATTTCACAGATTAAGAAAAAAGTATTTTACCAAGTGTCAGAGAAAAATCACTGTTATAAAATGCATCATTTATTAATCTGTGAAATATGAAAATCTGAAAGCTAAATTCTTTAATCCGAAAGAAGAAACATTGCTCGTTTGCCAATGATCGCCAATAACTATAATAATTCAGAACAAAATGGCTCCTGATTACTATAGATTAACCCATATATTGCCGTCTTCTATTAATTACAAGTTCACTTTACAGTTCTATACTATTCAGATGATTTCCAATGAATTTCGCCAAAGCGATCTACCCGAAAGATCAAACGCGCGAAACCTGAAATGCTCACATAACCTACAAAGGCGTGAGAAGCGTCAGAGCGAAAAGGACTCATAGCGTGCAAACACGCGTGATTCCTAAATGTGGGCCACAACAAGTTCACGGGTTAAAGAGATTCTGCATTGGCTTCGTTTCAAGCGTTCACCGAGGTCGCACGTAACCGCCAAGATGGCCGTGACATTTTTCGATTAAACCATATGGCTTTTAACTACCAACGTTTCGTGTGCCATTCTTTTTTTCGTCGGCGTGCGATACACGCTGGAAATGATACAGTCTCCGGCGGGTACAGCGAATGCCAAAATATACACACGTATACACCCGCGATACTAATATGCAATGCAAAACACGAGCCGTGTTTTTCGCGATTCCCGAGGTGCACTTTGTCGCAGGTGTATTTTGTATGCAACGAGCCCGGGCTGGACAAGTGGATCGAACTTCCACCGGTTACACCGCAGCAGATACTAATCGCCCGGCAGATTGTCCGCTGTTGCACGGGAAATTTGGACACGCCGGTACGTGGTGGCCGGTATATCCAGCAGTTTCCGTGTCGCGTAGGTGTTCCCCGATAAAACGAGACGAACCGTTTTTACGTCTCAGATTCACACGTTCCCGCCGTTCCCCGGCACGGAAAGGAATTATCTCAGGGCGCAAATAGCAAGGATTAGCGCGGCCACTCTGGTCTCGCCTGTAGGATTTTTCACTCTCGCCGGCGAGGACGAGGAGGAGGCGCTGCCCGAGGAACCGGAAGAGGGTAATTTTTCATGTTCCCTTCGGTGACGCCGCCTTACGCTCGCTGCCGGCGAATCTCGATAACTGTTATTCGAAGAAACCACGTAAATGATTCTCTGACTGAGTTGATCTATCAACCGAGCTGATCGTTTCAATTTGTACACCGAAAGGTAGCAATTTCGATTTGCTGTTGGTGTAATGTATGACAATCAGGTGTTCCCCAAACGAATTCGAGTTAGACGGCAATGAGTAATTGGATTATTCAGTTTGAAGTGCTTTAAGTTCGCCTTACATTATGCAGGTGAAACCTTATCGGAGAATCCGAACTACGATCCCCTGCCAATTAAGGAGTTAGCGGACAGTTCTATGGCGAACTGGTGTCATCACTCACGATATATTTTGAAACAAGGACGTACAAATTGGTGGGACCCTGACAAGAAAGAGGATGAAGTTAGTTGAAAAGAACAGCCTTTTAAAGTGTTTACTGCAATATAATACAAAGATCCTCGCATCTATCCGAAAGTAGTATACTACGCTTTATTTATAATATCATTTAGGAATTCATGTAATTTTGTAAACCCTTAGGAAGACATCGACCAAGAAGAATTAGAGGAGGAAGAAGAAGAAGAAGAAGAAGAAGAGCAGACGACAAAGGCTCGAGAAGAGGTAGGACCTCCTCTGCTGACACCCTTATCAGAAGACGCCATCATGGATTCGATAGTTCCCTGGACAGCTAGGCAATCATCGCGCGTGATGGCAGATTTATCGGTGGCACTGGTCAAATCGAACATTTGGCCTGGAGCGTTCGCATTCGCTAGCGGAAGGTGCGTGCACTGCTGACCTACACCCGATAATGATTTTCCATTAAGTAGTTCATGGGTCTTCGATATGTATGCGAGCTGCGAGTATAAATTCTACCGGTGTATCGAAGAAACAGGTCGGTCACCTGGAATCTCCTATCACGCGACGAGTCAACCGGGGAAAGAGGAATTATGGCGCGTTAAAGGGAAATTAATGCGCGGGAAATTACGCTAATGTCAGTTTAATGGTGCCGATTCGCAGACGCTTCGCTAACGTGTACGTCGGCTGGGGCCACAAGTACAACGCGTACAACTACAGTCCGCCGTCGATGCCGCCGATTCAGGAGCAGTACAAAATTGGCCCAGAGATCATGGAGATCCAAGATCCTACTTTCGAACAGGAAGAGGCCTACCGCATTGCTCATTTGCCGCCGTCGCCACCCATAGCGACAGGTAAGTACTAATTAACGTATTGCGCAAAAAAGAAATACCCGTTCATTAATGAACGGCTGGAGATTCGAACAGCTTGCAGCAAATACAAAGTTTTCACAGCGAGTATGAGTGTAATAAAGTTTATTTTAATGCAGATACGATAATGTAAACATATTGTACGCCGGCTAAATTTCAGCTACTAAAACTGCGAGCGTCGGTGATTATATTGATATATTTTCACACCCTTAGCACTCCAGGTTCTTTTGTAATCTATCAGCAACTGAAACTAATTTTTAGAGTATTCCTAGAGAAAATTAGAAATGCTATAACATTTCTTCGATCCTTTATTTTCCTTGTTAGCACAAAATTTGGACGTGTGGAAAATCAAATAATTTTAGGGTAGTTCTTTAAGATTCATTAAAATATTTAATATTATAACTGGTGCAATATTGGAGCCTACAGAGTTCAAAGGGTTAAACATCAATCAAACCGAAATTTCTAACTTGCGAAAAAGAATCAGGAATTCGATGTTGCAATTGTACTTTGGATTTGTGTTACACGTATCTAAAATGTTACATTAACGTAGAATTAGCAATTAAACGATAGACTAAAAATCCCGCATTATCGCGGGGCCTGCGCGCAAAGTGTTAAATATAGGAATCTTTAGATAATGAAATGAGAATAGATTGAAGCACGTTTTCGTAGAAAAGAAAAATTGAATTAGGCAAAAGTGAGATCATTCTATAAGTGTAACATGACTTGTGCTTGTTAGATGAGGAAGAGGAAGGCGTAGAAGAAGAAGAGGAAGAAGAAGAAGAGGAGGAGGAGGATTAAGGTAACTATTTTATCAGCAAAGTCAGGATCTAAATGTGCTGGTAAAATAGTTGGAAGATGTTTAGTTTATGCTTTTAGGGTATAGTAGCTAACTTTGTCGAAAGAGTTAGCAGCTGTAAGTACGTTCTCTGTTCATACGAATACTAAGTGTATTATGTTTTATGTGATAGATGCTGATTTAATTTGACGTATATTAAATAATTTGAAGTCATTTCCCATTTTGTAAAAAGATGTATGGATAAAGTAATAAAAGATTTGTATTTTCATACCTCGAAAATTCTTGTTAGATGTCGTCTGTCCTTCTGTCGGTAAAATTGCTTTCTGATAGTGCTGCTTCGGCTAAAGAAGCTTCGCCATTTTGGAACCACATTCCTATGTTCTTATTCACGTGCAGCATTGTTTGTTGAATCCTAACCTCTGAAACATACAATTCCCGCCAAATATTGTTAAGTAACGTATATTTATGTTTTATGAATGAGAATGACTGAAGAATTTGTGGAAAATGAATTTCAATTGCGACCAATGAGTTGTGAATTAAATCAATTATCTATGCCTGATGGATCAGCAATGTTAATGCAAGGTAAATTAATATCAATTGTTAACATTACTATGGGTGTATAATAATTATACTTTAGGAGATACAACAGTTATTGCTGGGATTTATGGACCAATAGAAGCTAAAGCACAAAAGATGATGTACGACAAGGCATCCGTGGAAGTATCATATGCTCCTCTAAAGGGTCCAGCGAGTAAGTCTAATAAAGTCAATAATTGATTATATTTATACATTAACTTTTTGGCGCTTTACTAATGTTATTTGTTATTCAAGAGGTTGATGACAGAATGACAGAAATGTACATAAAAGAGACATGTGAAGCTGCAATAATGGTTACATTTCATCCAGCAACGTCTATATGTATCAATGTACAAGAATTGGAAGATTCCGGTGGGGTATGGCACACTTTTATATATTTCAAGCAAAACTACTTGAACTTTATAATAGTAATTATACATATGTGTCTCAGTTATTGAGCTGTATACTGAATGCAAGCTGTTTAGCACTTATTAATGCTGGAATTCCAATGAAATTTACTATTGGAGCAGTTACGTGCATTATAGAAGAAGGTTCTGGTAACATCATTTTGGATCCTGATAGCATTCAGCTTCAGGTACGATTGTGAAAGTGTAATCATATTTATACCTGACAGTAGTCTAACTTATTATTTTTTTTTATATAGAATGCTAGGGCAGAATTTACATTTGGATTTGATAGTATGAAAAAAGATGTAATATGTTGTCATACCGAAGGTCGTTTTACACAGGCAGAGTTTTTCGACGCGATGGACAAATGCAAACAAGCTAGCCAATATGTATTTGATTTCTACAGAAATCTTGTAAAAAAGTATGCAAAAGTAATATAATATTTGCGTATTTATTTAAAATGTGATGTTTTAATAGTTTCTTTTCATATATGATCTGAGATTCCTACCACTGATTCTTTCGTTGATGTTCCTTTCATTCCATCCGATGATATTCGCGGTTCCTTGACGATGCAATGCCATAGACGGTGTTTCATATTTAGATCAGATGTGCACTTCTCGCTTGAGTTCTTAATGTAGCGTATAGTTCACCTACCTGCTGACAGATGGCTGGACACTTTCATCTGTTAAATGCTGCCATCTAGTATCCGAAAACATATTCATGGATTGAAGTTCGTCCTGTGCAACGTATTTAAATAAAATCTCGTCTCATTTTCGCAGTTTAATCCATCCATAAATCATAATTCAATCTCGCCGACACGTAACCCGCAACAAGTAATTAAATCAACCATACATCTTGCATAATTTTTCAATTGCGATTTCTTATCATGATTCATTGCTTCGTGTTTTCAGCTCACCTCCTGAATCCAGAGGGAAAGATTTCTAACCATCATATATCAAGCTTGCAACGTCGATTTCCGGTTAAGTACGTTTAATTCCATCAGATTATCACTTCATTCTAAAAATTCTGCACAACCGCGACGTTCTTCGTGCCATAAAATTCTGCGATTGCAACAATGATATGCTACGAAGTACAAGCTGTCAGAAAAGCATTTAGCAACCACAACTATCACAACGGCCATTGTTGCTATGTTCAGGTTCATGTTACATATGTATCTTAAAATATTTATTCTACTTAAACATTCACGTCAATAAGCAAAAATTATTATTAGAGTGTTGAATTATTAAGAATCTTCTATTTAAATAATTCGTATATTCAATCATGTCATATATGTCTCCGTTATCCTTCTTTGAAATTGTGTTCAAATCACTATGTAACCGACATTAAGTTCTACACTGTAGAACTTACATATTAGCGTAGAATCTACACTAATGAATTATTCCTCAATATTCCTTCTTTGTTTTCTCTTCTTCAGAACTTTAGAAACGAAATTTCCTTGGCTGACATTGAAGTAATCCAAATTAAATGAAATTAACTCAATTGGAATTTTATACAATTCAAGCGTTATATCTAAAGCCCTGCGTTGTCGTGCTACAAACTGCACATTGACGTAATCTCAGACAAGGTACACAGTATCATTCTGTTTACGCATAAATATCGCGAAGTAATCGGGAATCAACAGGTAGCTTCTCAGCTGCGTCCTGTATCCCTGCGGCATAACTTACGCTTCGCATTCGTCATCACGGTCCATTAACCCGCGTCGCAACAATCAGCATTTCCCAGATGCAATTACAGTAAACTTTTGCGCGGCTTTCGGAAACCGGGTACGCGTCTGTATAATAACACTCACCATCGCCAGCTATTTTTCGCCGTTTGTAATGAATTATTATGCAACCGTTCCATTAGTTCCCTCTTCCTTAGCGATCGCCTGAGCGCCGCGGCGAATCGCTTACTCAGCTGCGTCAATCATTTCGGTCGCATCCGTTTCTGTAATCGTATTCTCGGCCGCGTAATGGTTGACTGAAGGTTACAAACGTCTGCAAGCTAAATATCGTTACGGTCGAGTCCCGTGCGTTACGTCGGTGCATTTAATTCACCCTTTTGTAACGGTCGCGCTGTAAGCTTCTGACTATTGCTTAGATAAAGAGTTATGAATAAGGAATACCAGATAAAAAAGTGGTTGCTCATTTTCCATCGAATACACGGGACTCTTAAAGGCCACAGAAATTTCAAGGAGATACGAAACACGAAAATTGAATAACGCGATTACGATCAATTTGAAAACCATCGACTATCGTGCGCGATGCGTGAGAGTAAATTCAGCTCGAAAAATTCGTTCAACGTTCACTGTTACCCGAGCAACCGTTAGTCAACGCCATAATCAATTTGAGCGCCTGATTTAAATAAACCGCAAACATTCGTGGACGTATCAACATCGATAATTCCCGAGCATACATCAGCGCACTCAGGCAAGATAAATGCGCGAGACACGCCAACGCGCAGCGCCTCATTAATTTCGCGCGTTCCACGCTCACTGGAAAAATCGCTCGACAACGGGCGCGTTAAGGAGACGTCGTCACGCCCAGCAACCAGTGAGTCGTTTCCTCGAAAAAAGCAACGTCGCGCATAAATAGGTTTTCCCCGATAATCCCCTTA